GTGATGCTACGGGGACCCGGACACCCAACAATAAACCCAGCAGATCTGGCAAAAACACACCTCACACCAGAAGACATGCTTAAAATACGGAAGCACCAAGCACAAGCGCTTGGACAGACAGGGCCAAGCGCACTGCTATGAAAATCTGACTATTTTTAAATGTGAATCAAAACTAAGGATTTTAAAGCTAAAGAACTGCAAATATTAAAAACAAGCAATAAAAGTAACAATCTTCATGCTATTTTTTGGTCCTAACATTATGAAAACTTTAGGGAACGTCTTATCCTAAAACTACACACAACAGTAAATGCCGTGGGGGTCCGCTGGTAAAACCGGCGTGGGCGGTGTGGTGCAGGGCAGGGACGAGCCCTGACTCTCGCATCTGTGACTTCCACGGTACAAACCCTTCCACCGTGTGGCTCTCCAGCTGCCAGGAGCTTCACAGCCACCTCACAGATTCCTATTTAACCGTCAACTCTGGGACGCTGGTAGGGACCACGCCCCGCACCACTGGGTTACGGCGTATTTAAACACTGAGCTAAGGGTTCTTCTTAAAACGACTGGAGCTTTTTTGTAACTTCTAACTTAAAGGCGTAACATGTATGTATTAACACGCATAAGTCATGAGTTAGAGCGATACATTTTCAAAAAGTCAACTATTCTGGCTTTTCAAAAGAAAACTGTCTAGAACTTCCCATTCCATTAATAGAATGATAAAATCTCCCATCCTGCGGAAAACACTGGAAAAAAAAATATAGAATTTCCCGTGTGTAGCAAGTTACACCAGGTAACTCCTCAATACAATATTCTTTAGCTGAAGTTGAAGTGTCTTTGAAAGGTCAAAGCTGTGATTTCAAAGGTCCCCCAGTTCCTTCCTCTCGTCTCCGGAGAACTGATGTTAAAGATGTTTCTGCAGCACAGCTCACGGCTTCTCCTGCAGAAACAAAGGTAAGTCTGTCTCCAGAAGGCAAGGCGAGGTGGCGAGGACAGGCCCCTCGTCGGCCAGCTCGAGTGCGGACTGAGGCCCCGGCGAGGGCAAAGTGCCCCAAGGCGGGGCACACAACACCGCAGAGAAGACCACAGCCGAGTGTCCTTGAGAAAGTGTTCACAGTGAAGGTGAACAGAGGCTGGCGGCGGAGCAGCCAGGATCCTGGCAGACGCTGCCAACAGCGCTCCCAATGTCCCACACGATGGAGCAGCACCCAGAGTCCGCACCAGCCCATCTAGTGAGAGTGGAGGGTGGTGGTCACCAGGAGTCAGGATCGACTCCACGGCACCTAACAAAACAGTGCCGCATCTACCCAGAGACCGACTCGGGAAGAAGGACATCTTCCCAGTGCTGAGCACCCTCTCAGGATCACGGGAACATCTGTGGAATCAGAAACAATACACTCTCTTTCACCCTGAGGCCAATAACGTTTTCTCTCATCTGCTTCTCAAGTAGCCCAGCGAGAGGCCTATCAGTTCCCGGTTTTCTCGACTGCCTTTGCTGTCAGCCTGTTTCCTAGCTCCAATCTCCACTCTCAGCTACTATCTTCCACATTCATTTTACTTGGGGCTTAATTTGCTCTTCTTTGCCCAGCATCTCAGGACAGGCGCTCAGCTCACAAGCTCGGAGCCCTGCTGCCTCCTCTCCTACTGGCTGCATCCCACTTCTCTGTAGGGTCTAACCCTTACCGTTTATTTATTCGTTTTCATGTCCACCGTCAACCCAGGTGAGAGACGTCAGAAACTGCTGCAGCTATGTCTCCTCTCACTCACCACTTGGGCACCCTGCGTTCCTCTGTGCAGATCCACGTTTGCACCTAGCGGCATTTCCTTCAGTGCAATGAACATCCATTACCATTTGTTTCAGCGCAGGTCTGCTTCTCAGCCAATTCTCTGTCCTGTGGCAAGAACCTCGTTTTGTAAGGGTATTTTCTGTTGCTTTCTGCTAACTTCCTCATCACCAGGTTTGTCTCGGCCCTTGGAAGAGCTCCTCCTCCACAGCCTGACTTTGGCTGCTTCTGGTGAGGGGTCAGCAGTCACTCCTCTGTCGTCTGCACAACGTGTCTTTTTTCCTGACTGCTTTTAGGACTTTCTCCTCACCACGGATCTCAACAAGGGCCAGTGGGATCTGCTTTGTGTTGCACCTGCTTGAGGGTCACTGAGCTCCGAATCTGAGACTCTGCCCAGCCACGTGTCTTCCACTACCTCTCGGCTCCATTCCCCTTCTGGAGATTTCCATCCACGTCTGCTAGACGGCTACGTCTATGAGGTCACTGTGGAGAGGCGGCCCGTGGCCCAGCCCTTCTTCTCGCTGTGCTTCAGTCTGGAGGATTCCACAGCCGTCCAGTGAGCTCGCTGCCACTGCTTCTAATACAGGAGTGGACTCTCATCAAGTGACCAGACAAGAGAGTCGCCTGGGATGACAGCTAGCTGAAGTCAGGAAGAACAGATACAGGACACAGGTAAAGACACCTTTAAAAATGGAGAATCAGTGGTAACGTGTTCTGGCCGACAGCATGACTGGCTGTGTCTGAGACGTGACCAGGAATCAGCTGCTGTCAAGAATACTCCGGCTTGTGGCAAGCCCGTGTAGGTCAAGAAGCACTGTGCTCCGTGAGGTTCTCAGTGACTGGTTTTCCAGGAAGCAGAGTGTGGTGGAGTCAATTACGTAGCATGGCTTTTCTACCCGTAAGACATTGTAAACTCAGTGGTGGAATGAGCAACTGAGGAGCTCCTGATTGTAAATGTTATCCACCCGGGTTATTTCTGTTGGGTGTGGCACAACACAATGTTATGGAAGGCTCACTCTCAGGTGCTTAGAATTCTGTTGTTATGACTGGTTGGTTTGGCCACTGTGCCAAGCTCAAAAAGAGGCCTCCTAGAGGCAGAACTCTCTCTGACTGCTGGCTGAGGAAGACATGCTGCCGAAAGAGACACGTGCTGCTGGGAAAGAGACTCAAGAGACAAACGTTGCTGAGTAAGACACTGAGGGACATGCACTGCTGGGGGAAAGACTATGAGAGAGTTGGCTGAGAGATGGTGAGCTGGGAGAGAGACAGAGTTTTTTCCTGAACTTAAATTGTAGTCTGGTGTTTCCCTAATAAACCCTGTAATCTGAGTTCTGTGTGGCCACTGCAGCGAATTATCGAACCCAGGAGAGAGGTGGTGGGTACTTTGGGAGGAACGGTTGGTGAAAGGGCTGGAGGGAGGCAGCATGTCTGGCCTTGCAGTAATAGGCCTTGGGCTATTGATGGTGATTCTGCCTTCCTCTTGTGGGGTTCTAGGAGGTAAGAATATGTGACCTCCTTATCCTTTTTGCACAGAGCTCTGGGTCACTCTTCCGAGTGAAGTGGAATCTCCCAACCTTGCTGTCAGCACCCGGGTGCGTTAACCCATCTACACTACCCATGGCAGCCTGAGCTTTAAGTGAATAGCAGGACAGTGAACGGGAACACATCCAGCAGCAGAGGTCTCCAAAGACAGTGTGGGGCAGAGTACAAAGACAGACTCTAGGGACACTCACGTGACAACAGATGAGAATGCACTGGAAAAAAAAGAAAAAACTCTACAAGCACCCATGTATAGGAACAGAAGAAAAAGATGCAGAAAAATCGTAATGGACCAATCACAGAGGAACTGGCAGAGAACAGGTCACTCTAAGGTTAGGGGAGCGGGGTTCTGGTGTAGAAGGACAGCCACCACTGTCGACCAAGGGGAGTCAAGGGGGACAAACACCAAGGAGGAAGTGCCCCTGAAACCAGATGCCTGTGGGAGAGCGAGTCAGCAGCCCAGGGGGATCGGGGCCAGGTCTGTAAGAACACACACATAGTGAGGAAGGGCTATTCTTTAAGAACTTAGGGGGGAAAAGAAAGGAACTACAGGGAGAGGATGGTGAGACGCAGCAGGAAGATGTGCGTGCACCAGCTGAGGACAGGGTCCACCAAGCAGAAGGCCTCAGACATCAACCATTGTTATCTTCCACCAAAGGTTTCTGAAAGAAGTCAGGAAAGAAAGCAAAAGAATAAAGATGCTAGTGAAGCTAAGACGGGCATCGTCATGGAGACAGTAGGACACAATGGCGTTAGGAGGGCAAGCCGAGAGAGAACACTGCTAGAATTTCCTATTCCATTAACACAATGATAATAGATGGAAACAGAGACACTGAAATACAGAGGACAGAAGCCGAGTCCACGTAAGCTGGTTCGCTTCTCCCTCAGTCACAGAAAGCTCTGTGTGATCCAAGGCAGGTGAGAAGCAGGAGCAGTTTCAGAAGCAGTTCCCCGGTGGGGGGTAACTGGGAACCTCCTACAGTGAGTAACGCTCTGGAAAGCAACTGGAAATGTATCCAAAGCCCAGCAATTCCATGTCTGAGATTCTGTCCTAGGTGACCAGCGATGGAAACAGGAGTTGAACGACACATACACACACCACAGCACTATTTAGAACGAGTGAAAAGCAGCAGCATCTTCAATGTCCACATACACAGAGCTGGACAAATCAGTCACCATAAACTCTCTACACGGAACGCTGCCTGCATTTTCAAAAGATATTCAGAGTTAACTGCTTGCTTATTCATTCAGCAAACATCTGCAATGTCCTATGATCAAAGTCCTAGGAACATAATAGTCAAAGTCGTGCCCTTATGGAGCTTATATTCTGTTAAACAGAAAATGAAACACAGAACTTCCAAATACAATGCACGGAATGATTCTATTTCACACATGCATGCATGTGTACATATGCATGTACATAAATACATGACGTTATCTAGCTGGAAAAATACATTAACCAGTTTTTTGTTTGGATTTTTTTAAAAGTCATTAACTTGGAGTGATAGAAATAAGAGTATTTTCTCCCTTATCTGTATTTTCTAACTATTCTAAAATAAGGCTACATTACCTGTATAATTTTTTTAAAAAAACCTTTTTTAAAAAGAATTCTCACAGAGGATCTAGCTGAGTTAGGAATCCCAACGACTCCCTGTCGTGTGAGATGGGAACCTGCTATCTTACCTCATCCTCGGCCTGGTGCTCTGAGGTCAACCTGAGCACACTCCTGCAGTCAGCCACAAAAGTGCTGGCGACCAGCTCTGCGTGGCTCAAGAACACAGGGATGTCATCCTTGGTCAGGGGATCATCACCCACGATTTTGGCTATCATGAGGTCTAGAAACGTCACCCTATAAAACACAGACAATTTCTACATGAGTATGTCATACTGAAACGTTACAATGCTGATACTGACAGACACAATTTTAAGGAATTATTTTTGTTTTAAATGCTTTACACCTTGATTATCATACGTAGTTAAGAAAACTCTATTTTGTGAACAGAATTATTCCCCATTAACTAGTTTTCAAAGCCATGACTTCTCCAAGGTGACCTGGCACAGAAACTAGAACCATCCAGTGTGTCCCGTGTACACGAAGACTCTCACCACTGACGGAGCATTTCTGAAGGGATCTGTAGCACCAACAGCCACTGAAATGGCGAACACTCATTCAGTAAGTACACACATGGTCTCATTTAATCCCTGCAAAACCCTGACAAGGCAGGTGCTGTCACCAAGCCTGCCACCACAGCTGTGTGCCATCGTGTCAATCCCCGTTCACAGTGACCGTGTATGACAGAGAAGAACTGCTCCGCAGGGTTTCCCGGGCTGCCATCTGTACGGGAGCAGATCACCAGGTTTTTTTCTCTCACAGAGCAGTTGGGTGGGTTCGAACTGCTGAGCTCTCAGTTAGCAGTCAAGTGCCCAATCATCACGCCATCAGGACTCCTGAAGCCTCCCATGGAAGATGGGTAAATACAGCTTGGTCTGGGTATAATTCACATTCAAGGACTGACATCCAAAAACGTGCATGTACATTCCACACATATGATTCGTTCAGTGGCATACCACAAAGGTCAAAAGTCTGATGACCCCTGGACCGCAAGCCACCTACCACAGAGGCAGATGAGTGCTGTGGAATTACTCGTCATTCCCTAGTAAATTAGGGATGTGAGTAGTCTGTGTGGTGCACCAGACAGACTGGGTTCAAATAATCCCTCCGCCACCTCATCTCTAGGAAGTATCTTCAGCAATACAGCCTCACACCCCTGACTTGGAATATGTCAGGAAAAAAAGCCTGCTTCACAAGGTCACTGGGGGCATTGAATTGACAGTGGTCGCGTGCAGCCTTGCAACAGGAACGCTCTCTGGAGGAAAAGTTAAGGACATCGCAGCAATAGAAACAAGTGGCAGTGACAACAGGGCAGCAGAAACAGTAACACAGCCATGCCTTGCTTACCAACACGAGGGTTACGTGAAAATGGAGGAGGATTACATCATCCCGTAACTGCTACATCACGTGATGATGTAACCACCACAGCACTGAGAGTCAGGGCTCAGCCAGGCTGACACACGACCTAACCATCATAGCCAGTGTTGCTCTCACTTCACACCTGGTGGTTGTTACTGTCAGACGTACATCACTGAAGCACAGAATCGCTGGACAGATTCTGCACTGCTGTCATGAACGCACAACGTCAGACGACGAGACAGTTGAGAAGTGAGGAGGCGCAGCGACAGCAATGTGGAAGCAGAAACAGCAGCAGCTCACTTTACACACCAGGCACCAAGGCGTTTACGTGAATTTCAATTTGTCATGACAATGTCGCAGAGCAGCATCTATCGCTATTCCCATTTTACAGGTGACACCGACCTCTAGAAACGTCAGTCCACTGGTCCAAATAGCAAGCGGCCCTTTGGACTCAAACCTAGAAATGGCCAAAGCTCCTGAGCGGAAGCAGCCGGTTAACGTGCTGAGTCACCCCAGCTCCCAGAGGAGGGGCCGCAAACCACAGGAAGGCAGGCTCTCTCTGTCGCTGCATCCCACATCGTCGGTATTCAAACTGTCATGACTGAGTGACCCACCCAAACAGGCCACCAGCCGTGGGCGAAGGGGTCCACGACTCTGACGGTAACAGAAGACCCAGCACCAGCAGCAGCTTCAGAATCCCCACAGCCCTGTCCTGCTGCTCGTAAGAGGGACAGGCGGGCAGCCGTCCACACTCGGGGGGCGCCTCGTGGCCCTCTTCACCAGAACGCCCCAGCACCCACCACAAGGTACCCTCACAGCACTTTTCCCATCTGACCCACAAGCATTTTTAATCAAACAGCCACTAAGCCAGTTGGAAATTCCAACTCAGTAGGCTGAGCCTCAGGGGGAGGAAGGCTGAGCTTGGGGGGCAGGGGAGAGAGGCATTACCTCCTCAGATGATTCTGAGATGTGCTCTTAACTAAGAAGTGCCAAGGCGCCTCGCCAGATCTCTCTGGCGAGCACCAAACCCGACCAAATCCACTGCCGTGAGTCAGTGCAGGCTCAGGGCGCCCCTCGGGGACACAGGAGGGCTGCCAGGTGCCTCCTCACTCTCCAGCAGAGCAGTGGGCAGCTCCGACCACCGACCTTCCGGTTAGCAGACGAATGCTTTAACCACTGGGCCGTAAGAACTCCTCCCTCTGAACAGAGAACACAGAAAACGTCTGCAGTGACTCCCGGAATTCTCACCAAGATGGCACAAAGCACCGTTCCAGATGCACAAGAGAAATGAATTTATGCCTCATCCCTGGTAAGATTTCAAACCCTTTCAAGCCAACGTACAACTCCGAACACCGCACAGATCCACGGCTGCTCAGAAGGAGGCCAGAGGGAGCCCACGAGCCTCCACTCAGCCCTGAACCTGCGAACTTCCTCCTCCCCCACTCAGCCCCATCAGCACAGACACCTTCAGTAATCCTCTCCCGACACCCCTCCCACCTTCGGCCGCCAGCAACAGCTCAGAGTCCCCAAGTCACCGCCACTCCTTACCCTGGGCTTCTAATTCCCACGAGGCGCTCTGAGCAGCAAGGTCCCCCTGCCCAGTAACGTCCCTCCCAGCTTGATTCTCTTCACGGCACGGACCACTGTCCCACACACTTTATTTGACTTCTCTGTTCTGTGTCCCTCTTATCACTAGGAGGACCTTTGGTAGTACCTGACTGAAAGCGTAGCTGCTGACTAAAAGGTCAGTGGTTCAAACCCACCAGCAGCTCCATGGCAGAGAAGACCTGGCAATCTGCTTCCATGCAGATTTATAGCCCAAGAAACCTTAAGGAGCCACTATGAGTCAGAACTGACCCAACATACAACAACTCACCATGAGAACTTAAGGGCCACACAGTCCATTTTGTTAAATGAGACTAAAAAGTTTCACTGCTAAACCCAAGACCGACCCTGGCCTTGCTCAGTGTTCCTCCCACTGCGCTCTACAAGCATCTTCCCTTCCCACCAAGCATTTCCAGTGTCCCCAAAAAATCAATGTCCCTTCACCTGTATGCTCATGCTGATCCTTCAGCAACAAAATGCCTCCCGCTCTTCCCGACATATCCTGGCAAAATCCCGCCCACCTGTGAACCCAAGTCCAAGCACACCACCTCCAAAAGTCTACTTACTTCAAGGACTACAAAGAAGATTGCCCTCCTCCCTCCCACCCCACCACCACTCCCACCCAAGTGCCTGACACTTTATGTTTCGACCTCTACTGTGATGCCTGTCAAGTATGTCCTGCACTTCAGTGATGACTGTATGTCTCCCACCTCTCTCGAGTACATCCTACCTGAACTTAAAGATCTGATGCACTCAACAACAATGACCAAACACCAGACAAGTTGTGGGATGACATCAAGGATACCATACATGAAAAAAGCAAAAGATCATTGCACAGAAAGGGAAGAAAATACCAAAATAATGTCAGAAGAGACTCTGAAACATGCTCTTGGAACAGAGAGTAGCTAAAGCAAACGGAAGAAACGATGACAAAAGAGCTGAAGAACTTCAGAGGGCAGTTCGAGGAGACAAAGTAAAGGCATTATGAAATATGCAAAGACTTGGAGTTAGAAAATCAAAAAGGAAAAACATGCTAAGCACTTCTCAAGCAGAAAGAATCAACAAAAATATTCAAGCCTCAAGCTGCAACACAGAAGGATTATAAGGGCAAAATACTGCATGACGCAGAAAACATCAAAAGAAGATGGAAGGAATACAGGGTCAGAGTACCACAAAGAATTAACTGACATTCAATCATTTTAGGAGATAGCATATCATCAAGAACCAATAGTACTGAAGGAAGAATCCAAGCAGTACTGAAGGGACTGGTGAAAAGCAAGGCTTCAGAAATTGACAAAATACCCACTGAGATGTTTCATCTAACAGATGCAGCACTAAAAGGGCTCACTCATTTATACCAGGAAATTCAGCTACCTGGCCAACCAACTGTACCCAAAAAGAAAAAAAACTCACTTCAGACAAGTCAGTTCCAACTCAGAGCGACCCCTCCTTGGGTTTCCAAGGTGCTATCTCTACAGAATTAGATCGCCCCAGTCTTCCTTCTGACTGTAAGAGATCCTTATGTGTGCACACCCATGTTCATTGCAGCACTATTTACAATAGCCACAAGATGGAAACAACCTAGGTCTCCATCAACTGAGGAATGGATAACCAAACTATGGTATATACGTACAATGGAATACTATGTAACCCTAAAGAATAATGTAGAATCTGCAAAACACCGCATAATGTGGAGGAACTTGGAGGACATCATGCTGAGTGAAATCAGTCAACCACAAAAGGACAAATATTGTATTAGTTCGTTATTGTAAAAGTCAAGGAAACGTTTATCTGTGGAAGGAAATTTTCTTTGTTGGTTACCAGGGGTGGGAGAGGAGGGGAGAGAACACTGTTAGATAGAGAGAGATAAGTATTGATTTGGATGAAGAGAATGGCAATGTATCAAATGTGAGTGATCAATATGGCGGCATTGAGGAAGAGAAAGACATAGAGAGGTACATAGGAGGTACAGACAACAAAGATGAACCCTTTTGCACATACAGTACTGCATTGTCAGTGAAGGCAAACATAGGTATACGGGTGGATAGATAGGTGGACAGGCTGAACTAGCAGGTATGTCTATGAAGCAGGGAGTGTACCCAAGAACATATACAGGGTTGGCAGACAATGCTCCTGTAAGTGTATTTGTATGATCTGAATTCCCAGGTGTATAGTAGAGCTGACAAGGGGAAAGGTTGCGGTCACTGCTTGGTCACAGCCAGCTACCCAGAGGGACCGAAGAGTTGAACCTGTGGGCTCAGGACCATAGTCAT